ATTGTTTTGTCTTGTTTTCTCTTTAAACATTAATTTAAAACATACTTGCTCTAAATCTATTGATCTTTTCCTGTTACTCTTGTTGTCTTAGCCTTTTCATTTCATTATATGACTGTTGCAGTAATTCTGTTGCGGTCAGTTGTTTCGGGGGTGGTTCTTCTTCCATTCTTACTGGGCGTTGCTTTGTCTTAACATCAATAGGTTCTGAGTATTGTGTTACTAGTTCTTTAACTTTTGTAGGTGGTATTGTTTTTATCACTTGGCTTTCAATAAGTTTAATCGCTACTGCTCTTGTTTTCGGTTTTGGCTTAATTGGTTTATCTTCGGTTTTACCATTACATTTATGTGAATACCTTAATGTTTTTAATGTCATCTCTGCTTGACATCCCACACATTTGACCTTTTTGTTTTTCATCCTGTCTGTTTTGTTTTTAAATTGCTCATCTTCTTTAGGTGCTTCTTCTTGTGGTGTATGTTCAGGCGTCTCTGCTTTAGTCTCTGCTTTAGTCTCTTCTGCTTTTGGTTCTTCAACTGTTTCAGGCACTTCTTCAAAATTGTTTTTGCTGTCTTCTTCAATCACTGTTTCAGGCACTTCTGTCATATAAGATAGTCTATATTTTTCTATTTTTCAACTAAATAGAAATAATATAGATAAATTTAGGAATTATCGGGTGGTTCTTGTTGGTTTATCTAATTTAGATAATGTTGATGCTTTGGCGATTTAAGATGATACCATTTGTTGCCCATTGTTGTAGTTATACCACATTCACAAATCCAAGGTTGCTTTAATTTAGCAAGTATTTCCACACGTCTGTTTTCATAATCCTTTCTCTTCTGCTCCTTTACCTTATCTTTATTCTTTTCCCTATATTCTTTGTCATATTCGCTCCTCCTTTCAGTATTGTTTTTATGATACTGCCTAAACTTTTCCAGATATTTATCTCTATCGTCTTCATATCTTTCTTTTGCAGTCCTACCTGCTATGTTTTTATTCAAACAGTCTGTATTCCTTATCATTTCACCTTCCCTTGTCTCCAGTTCCTGCCTACTATTACACGGATAATCCTCCATTAGTTCAATCCTACATTTTGTTTCATCATATTTATCAAACATTTTATAACTCCGCGCTATCTCTGAGGTCCGAGCAAATGAGCGCTACACTGCAGAAGGTACATCATCAGAACTGTGGCCCAACCGTCTTCAAGACTGCCGAGCATCGTCCCAATTCACTAGCCCTTCCGTTAGGACATCCGATGGAAACACAGAGACTTCAACGACTGATTTCCGCTTCCATAAGCCACTCAAACTGGCCGGAGCTGCTTGCAGGATCTCTTGTGGGCCGCACCACAACACACGAGCATGTACCCAAGTGCCCGGCACACGCGTCAACATGACATCAAGAGCATGCCACAAGTCAAGCACACGTTCCGGCAAAACCGGGCAGCTATCACCGCACCATCCACGTTGACGCTCAAGCCAGACAAGCTCCATGCGGTCATCACACACGCGCACTGCCACAGTAACCGAACCCGTGATGGTTCCTTGAATGCATCTGTCGTGCCAAACATGCACATCTGCAGCACAAGTGTAAACATTGGCCCCGACAATGCGCGTACGCAACCCCCAGCAAGCAAGCCAAGCATCCGACTTGTCAGCCCAAGACCGACGCTCACAAGCAAGTTCAACCGGGTCAATCCCCTGGGACCTCAGCCACCTCATGGCAACCCTAGCAGAGTGATCAGGCCCAGTTCTGGCATTGCGGGTTATCCACGGCTAAGCATTTCGGGATGTCGCAGTGCTGGTGCCTCAAGCAATGTCCCAACCATCTCCAATGCAACCGCGCAACCAAGCCATCCCACAAGCACCCAAAGTAAGCTAAGCACCACACCTTGCAAGCATGCCTCACCACAGCCAACATCCTGTCGTCGTACCAACTTTCATGCCGGCGCAAGCCCAACATCCAAACACACAATGTGACGCCCTGCACACGGAACATGCGTAGCACTGAAGCGTCCAAGCGCAGAGCCAGCAACCCACTTGAAGGTAGACTCAACCAAGGACTGGAACAAGGAGGCCTTGGCTTGCACAGGGGCTTGGCTGCATGTAAGAAGCACCCTGGAGGTCATAAATGCTCTGACCGCCCTGTTAGTCAAGGCTTCGGCTGCACTGACATCACTGTCCGACACAGACATAGGCACGCCAAGGAAAACAACTTGAGCAACTCTACGGAACGAAGCAAGGATCCCTGGCAACACAACCGGCAGTCAATTTCCCATGACCTGGCACTTGTCAAAGTTAATGCTCAAGCCAAGCTCCCCCAAAGCTCTGACCAACTCTGGCAGCAGTAAACTTGCCTGGTCAACGCTAGAGAAACACAAAAAGGAATCATCAACCCACCAAATGCCCCACAAGCCCCTTGCAGTAGCGAAAGGTGGCCTAAATCCCCTCTGCTCCCAACTGTCGGCAATTCTGCGGAAAGCGATGCCAACCAGGGCGCTAAAAAGGCCAGGGGAATGCGTGCCGCCTTGCACCGTTCCTCGCCTGATAGCAATATTCCATGAAACACCCAAGCAGTGGAAGGCGACAGAGGATGCAGTAATCATGTGCAACAAGAACCTGCATGACTTGCTCGTCGACGGGACATACCAACGGAGGACTTCATCAACCACTGCTGCATGGGACAAACTATCATAAGCACTGCTCAGGTCAAGCTTCACAAAAAACGGCATCGCAATCGAAAACTTTGCTTTTGGCCAACATGGTTTTTGCAGTGCAAACAGCATCACTAACTTGCAGCCCACGACGGCCGCCCATGCACTCATCCACAACTGGCCAGCTTTCAAGAACCCTATGCATAGCCACACGGGCAGCAAGCTTCGTGATGGTCTCAGTGAGGACAAGGGGCCGAGTTTGTTTGGGCTCAAGCACGCAAGACACTTTGGGCACGAGAACAGCAAGACCACGGTAGAGCACATCGGCATCACACGCAGGGTCGTCAAAGACATGCCCAAGCAACCGCAACAAGCACTCAACACCTCCGTCAAGGTTGCAAATCGCCTTCAGCAGATCAGCAGAAACACCAGACAAGCCAGCCGAGCGAAACGGCCTGAGCTTGTCAAGATGAAGGCGAAGCTCTTGCTCAGTGACCGGAGGCTCCAAGCTGAGATCGTGCTGGTTCCACTGGACGGCCCTGACAAGGCGATGCTCAGGAGGCACGCTTTCAAACTGTTGCACGTAATGTCGCTTGAGGGCTTCAGCCGCAGCCTCCTCAGACCCCTTAGCATCAATGAGGCCAGTGTACGTCCCACTCTTCCGGTGGACTCTCTGCAGAGCCGATCTTGCCTTCCAGGAACCACTTGCCGCCTGCACAACCAGGGCCTGCTTCCACTGAACTCTAGCAAGTTTCCTGGCTGAGTGAATGTGCACTGAAATGGACGCACGCTGAGCACGGCTGGTGCACTGCCTGCGCTGCGCGCAAAGCTCCTTAACAGCGTCTGGGTCGACATAGCGCAGTGGAGTTACAGCAGCCGTCGTCAGGTCACTCGTCACCTCGATGTGCCGGACAGGGTCAAAACCTGGAGTCGATGCCTCAACCAAGAAGGCCCAGACACGCTCCTGCAAGGTGTCAGTGTCAACAACACAGCGTTTCCCAGTCTTGCCGACAACCTGGGCCGAGCAGTTCTGCAAGGACGCCGTCGCCCCAACCGAGGCTTGAGCAGCATTTCGTACATGACAAGAACATGATCGTTACCGAGGGCCTGCCGGATGGACCAGTCGTATGTCTCAAGAGCCCAGCAAAGGCTTGATGTCGCTTGGACTTCTTGCAGCGCAAGGAGCCCCATCATCTCATCATTTGCCACAACATGGTCAAGCCGACGCACTCCGCCAAGGCGTGTTGGGGTGAGGTCTTGAGAGTGCCTGAGAAGTCCTAGCAAATGAATGGCATTCCTGACAATGGAAGCTCTTGTCGCAGTATCGGAAAGGCACTGATTCAAATCACCCAGAAGCAGGATGGGAAGGCCACGCGAGACATACTGCTGCAAGCTCATGACAAGTGACTCAACAGCAAACTCAAGGTCCTCCTGAGGCCGGGAGGAGTGCGGAAAATGGGCATTGCAGACAACCAAGGGAACCGCATCATTTCTCAAACGCAGCAGCGAGCACATGTGGGAATGCCCAACAGTCACGTCTTCAAGCCGAGAGCCTTCAGGAAGTGCAACGGCAAGGCATCTGAAGCAGTCAGTGGGCTTGGTAACCACAACTTTGAGCCCTTCCAAATCCCTTCTGACGAGCTCAAACGGTCTCCCGGCAGCTATAGAAGCGAAAATGGGGAAAGTCAGTTCTTGAACTGCAAGGATGTCAAAATCATAGGAGAAATCACTAAGGACTTCCAGAGTACTATCCAGGTCTTTTCCCTGGAAATTCCAAGTAGCTCAGTCAAACAGCTCCATTTTGGAGTTCGGGTTCGAATTATGAGGTTGCGCTTGCTCAGCATCTGCAACCCTCATGTTGGCATGCATTTGTCACTGGGACTGCGTGGTCCACAAGCCCTCCACCTCACTCACAGACTTACCAGCAGATCGCGCCACGGCCGCAAGATCCACCCAAACTGACAAACCGGTAGTTGCGTCACGCTCCACCCATCTCACATGGCCATTGTTAGGAGCATGGTCCCTGGGGTGGGCTGCTGGGTGGCTACCCATGACCCGCTCCTGCTCAATGTATGCTCGGCCAGTGGCCCAATCCGCAACCTCCAGGGTCTTGGGAGGCATGCCCAAGGACTTCCACAAGAAAGTAGAAGTCTTCGCTACGGCCCTTCCCATCACCCGCTGTGCTGGGCTTTTGTCCATGGAAACCCACATAGGCTCTTCGCAACCACGTGGCTTCCAGGCTACCGCACGCAGCTTGTCGCGAACCTCCTTCTGAAGGGCACGCTTAGCAGCTGGAACCTCTGTTGAGAACTTGAGCTTGAGTCTGGCACTGCGGGGCCGCTTGCCAAACATGTCAATCGAAGCCACATGAGACTTGACATCTGCGCTCTCGAAGGCCTTGGGAAGGTTAACCTCCAAGTGCTCAAGGCGCTCGCCGTCACACCATCCCCCAAGAATCAGATCAAAGGACAAAGGTTTACTGTGATCACCTGACCTCGGAGAAGATGCCGCAGACCCAGCTGGTGACCCTCGAAACTCCGACATGTTGGAACTCATCTTGGCCTGCAGCTCGGAGAAACGGGCCTCTCATTTGGCCTCCAACTCCTGGGGAGCAGATCCGGAGGCACCAACAGTAAGTCTCAACGCAGCCTGGTCCTTTTGGACTTCCTGAATGGCTGCTCCCATGGCGTCCAACCGCCCGTGACAGCGATCTTCCAACTCAGAAAGGCGACAGCCCTGAGCTACAACGGTCTGTGCTATCGCTTCCAACCTTTTATCATGTTGTACCGTCTGGGAAAGGACCTCCTGCAGATCTGACTTGAGAGGAGCTAGAGCTGAGTCTAGCGCAGTCTTCAAAGCCACCTGAATAAGTTCTGACATGTCGTCATCCGGTGCCTTCTTGAGTCGCTTTGTAGGGCTGTCGGATCGTTCAGTAGGTGGAACTAGTTGAAGATCGACACTAGCACTCGGGTTGTTCATAGTTGGACGTGCTGGCTCAGACATGGCATGAAGGTTCCTGCAGTCCTGGCACTAGGGGGAGCTGTAGCCATTTATAAACCGTCATAGATTTACCATTACCTTCTTTAAATCTACGGTAATCTTTTCTATGACCGCACATTCTCATACTTCGTTCTTGAACAGTATAAATTTTGCCTTTTTGATAATTTGGCATATTATGTTTATATATGTTTTCATATGTTTAAATATGTTTTTTATCCCCTTGAAAAGGTTAGTGCAAATGAAATATCTACCCCGTTCAATTCTACAATTTGGTTAAGGTGGTCAGTTAATCTAAAATTCAATCGGCGTAGCATTTTTCCACTAACATCAATATAATCAAAATTGCTTATCTCATTATCATTAATGACACCTAAATAAGGAACATTTACAGGTATCTTTTTATTAATGCTTGAATTACCCGCCACCGTTAATTGGTTGTAGTTGCTAATTTCATTACACTGCAAATATAAACTCTTAAAAGGCACTAAATCCATAAAATTTGTTATATAAGGAACAACATTTGTGTAGGCAACAGGAGCAGGTGTTGTATTACCGATTACAC